CATAATAGAGAAAAGTTTCCTTTGGGAAAAGTATTATCTATTTCAGTTGAATTATCAGTCAATCATTGGTTGTCTCCAAAACCAACATATAAATAAAGTTTATAATGATTGAGGGAGGGATCATTAGGTGTTTCCAAGTTGTTGTGTGCAAGTGGTCATGGAAAGGGATAAATCATTTTCCCCACACCACACCCTGATTCTCCAGTTTGATCTGAGTTCAGCAAGAGATGCAGTGCAGCCCAGGATTTGATGTTTCTTTAACTGTGGGCCTGCTAGAAACATTTCCTTGTTGGACTGACCCCTGCTAGCCAGTTCCATGCGAATGTGTTCTATGTTTGGGAACAAATAACTTCATTCCTAAGTGCATTGTTTTCAATATTGAAATTGCTAGCTTATGTTTCCAACCCCCAGAGGTGGTGAGGTCATACTTGTGGTAGGCCTGAGTGATGAGAAGTACAGCTTACTCTTTGAAAGAACAGCTTTGACTACCTGTCTCCTAATTTGAAAGGAAAAGGAGAACTTTTGGAATGGAGACCAATGACTTAGATGTTTTTCATTCATTCAACAAATAGTTGCAAAGGATCTGTTTTATGAAAGATCTCGGCTATGAGAAACTCAGAACTGAATAAAGTTTTCACCCCTCTACTCAACTATGAGTTCCCCATAGAAAATAAGTATGTACTCACTCCATATAATGAGTGAAGAGACAAAGAATAAATCTAGGTACAAAAATCGTCTGAGAGAGAGCAGAATTGAAAGAGAGAGCAAGTATCCTAGGGGAAGGGGCCACATCAGCTGCCACTGAATGTTTTCAGTTGAAATTAGCAAGGTCATAGAAGAATGAGGATAATTTTATGTTGCTTGAAATGTGAGAGAGTCCACCCCTGCCAACAAGATGTCTCTGTTGGAATTTTGCTAATTGATATATGGGCTTTTTTCTTAGAGATTCTCTTGATTCTTCACATGACACATCTTGAAGCTTATCTCTGATAAGCCATGAATTAGACAAAGTTGGAGCCAGAGAACTGATTTAAAGTGTCCCATAGGGAGAGGGAATTTTGGCAGTCATGAGAACAAAACAAATGTAACATTAGATATTCTTTTAAAGAGATCAAAGATCTTTGGAAAGATTTACATATTCACATTAGGAGGTCAGCAGCAAATTCTAAGGGCAGTAGACACTTTGCAGGAAAAAAAAAAAGTTACTTCTGTCTAGGATCTTTATACTTTAATATTTTTAAAGAAGAGGATTAACGCTTTATTGAAGCTTCTACATTTGGAATGTGAATAGAAGACTTACTGTCTAAAACATCAAAAACAGTAATATATTTCCTCAAAGAGTCTTTGAAACTTTGGACCCTTACACAGGGAGTATTATATGTCCTGGTCCCCTGGAATCAAGGGCACATGCTTCTTTACCAAACCCTTAAATATATGAGCCAAATCTAGCATAATGACTGTCTTTATGTATCTAGATTTCTTTCATTCATTGTTCTCAAAGCTAGGCTCTTTTTTTTTTTTTTTTTTTCCCTTTGGATATCCATCTGGAAGGCTCCCTTAGCCTTATCTGGATCTCTGTAAATGATGCTGCCTCAGTTGCGTAGAGATGAGTTAAACCCTCTCACCCCTGTCCAGAGGGAGCCAGAAGCCATCGGGAATCACACAGGCAGTGATGTCATTGGAAGTGCTCTCAGTACCTTACACAATCAGCCACAAGGTTTAAGGGTCAGAGAGAGACTCTACTGTACAGCCAAAGGTCAGTTCAGATTAACCCTTCTCCAGCATTGTGCAGGGATAAAATGCTTCTGAGACTGGCGTCTGTACGAAAGTCTTCCAATGCCAATAGATTACTTCCTGGGTCATTTATTAGTTCCAAGGACAAAGTGGACAGTTGTCGTGTTATGAGACATTATTTATGTCTAGTTCAGTTTAGGGTCTCTGTGAATCAGAATCGACTTGATGGCACACAACAATCTGATAATCACCTTACTTACTAGCAATAACTGCCATGTATTAGGGACATACTGTGTGCCAGCCACTCAGCACATAGTACTTATTTTAATTCTCTTAGGAATACGCCAATGTAGTGATAATTACTTCCTTTTACAGATGAAGAGAGTGAGGGTTAGCTGCATCCACATGCCCAAGGCCAGGGCCTGAACTTGTGAGGTCTGACATGTAACCTGCACACCTGCTTCCTTAACTAACATTGGTCCTGACCTCAGATAAGAACACAAATCACCTGACACTAGTGTCCAGAATCTTTCCACTCTACCACAGTAACTTGACAAAAGCAAGCATGGTGACTGTAATAAATTATCTCAGCCTGCAATCCCTAGAATGATGACCCCAGATTTTCACTGTAGGCCAATTCTTGTTCACTGTTGAGACAGAACAGAAGAGATCAAAATAAATTTCTCATTGATAGGAACTCGCCTATCACTGTATCATCAGTGACACAGTGGCCTTTATCATGGGAATATAAATTAATGAAGGCTATCATGTAAAAATAAAAGGAAACATAGTTCTATGGGAGGCTCGTTTTGCACATATATATCCCTAAGATGTTGATGAATGTCCAATTTCTCCTTTTAAATTCTGTTGTTCAAATACTTTTTTCCCCTCTCAGAAGCTTTCTTTTAACATCCTGTGAATACATATCAAAATACAGACTTTTCCAATTTTAAAGAATTCCTTTAGGGTACAGAAGTACATGGAATTCTTCATGTATGTCCTTGGATGTGATTCTGGAGTGGATACCTCTTCACCCTGTAGCTTCATATCATTGTGGGCAGGTCAGCCTGATGGCACAAATGTTGAAGCACTCGACTACTATCTAAAAGCTTAGTGGTTTGAACCCACCCAGAGATGTCTTGCCAGACAGGCCTGGTGATTTGATTCTAAAAGATCCATAGCCTTTAAGACTCTATTGAGCAGTTCTATTCTGCACACATGGGATCTCCATGAGCCGGAATCAATCCAAGGACAGCTAACAACAACTCAATTTGGTAAGAAGCCTTGTATTCCATTCCAGGGGGCCAGTTAAAGAAACTTTCCAATAATTCTAATGAGCATGAAGGCATTTTTGGCTTTTTTGTAATAATGAATAATAAAAGGAACAATAATCAACATGAACTGAGCCTGCCACTCATTATCTCACTTAATCCTTGAAGTAAGATGATATTTTTTCATCATCCCCATCTTGTAGTGGAGGAAATTGAGTTCCAGGGCGATTTAGTAACTTGCTCCAAGTCAGACAGTTATAAAGTGGCCATGCTGGAATTGGATCCAACGTCTGATTGTGGAGCCAGGGCATGTAAGGACCGCCTGCAGCAAAGGGGTGAAAATGTGTGCAAAACCCAGAATTATGCTTTTCTCAAACATCAAGTCTAATTGGCTTTGAAAAGGGAATGTATGTAAACTGTATGAACTCTGACCCTCTCTCTTTGTGATTATGCAGAGTTAGAGGGCTAGTTATTCCAAAGTGAGTAGTTGTCAGAGGGGTAATTAGAAGGTGCTTGGACCTCATGGCTGCTGGTTGCAATCTGTGCATTAGTGTGGTCTGCCACTTCCCGATTAGTACAGAATCCATAGCTGCCTGTGGTTCTAGGGCAGAAGAAGTCAAACCTTTGTGGACTCTTGTAATTTGTTATTTAGTGTTAATAACAGCAATGACACAGGTTTAGTTTCCTTCTCTCAGGTCTTGTTATGGTTAATGGTGGATGTTCTTGTGCCCACAAGCCATTATTTTGCAATAACAATCTACTCTAACATCTTCCAACAGAACAAAAGTTCACCTGGGTCCTTCCTGTATTACTACAGACACATCGTTCTGTTGGCCACAGCACTTTCTAGAATGATTTTGTCAGCAGAAAAAAATTGCATGCTAATTGCCATCTCCCATTTTGATTGTTTTAGGCATTTGAGCCCCTCCTCTAGCCTAGTTCCACACATCTATTACTTTAAGCACAACTTTGCAGATCAAAGACTGCCTCTGTTGTATCTGTTGCTACATTGAAGTCCTAAAAGTCAGCATCCATTAAGCCCAAAGTCTCATCTCCATCCCCGTGTAAAACATTCCTGTGTTCTGATTCTGATCTGCAGAAAATTAAACTTGTTTGTTTCATCCATTTATCAGATTAGGATACATTTATCTCTTCTGTCAGTCCAAACATAAGTTGGTCAGTTAATCTATTTATACTGCTTTGAAATAGGACAGTGTATATTTAGATTCAAACTTCCCTGCAGGGCAAGTTTTTTTTTTAGGGGTAATTTGAATTTGTTTTCCAACAATAGTTAGCTCCAGTCAGGACATTCCAGGCAGACACCTTATTTGAACATCCCCACACACTTCTATAGATACCAGGTTGAAATCATTAAGTATTTCCAACTGCTAGCATTTTCCCTCTTTACTGGTAGGGTAGATCCGGTTCTTCTTGCATAGACTGTACATAGAATCTACTTTCTCACAGTGTCATGCAGATGTTCTGTTTCCTGCTGCATTGGTTATGGGTGTCTTGTACCATTTCCCACAGTGATATGTGGTGTGTATACATGTGTGTTTATGTATGCATATAGGGGTCCCATTAATACTCTTCATCTAAAGGAAAATGGGTGTAGTAATGGCTTTATTAGACCTGTAACTCCTCAGCATTGGCCATTAATAGCAGTTTCCAAAGGGATATGGTATTAGGAACTTTGCTGAGTCAGGTGTCTTTGATGGTGGCCAGACTGCCTTGCTGTACAAACCTGGGCCCAAAAACCTAGATTTGCTTCATTGTCCTTAAGTGGGGGTATGCCAACATGGGAATCAACCAGTAGACTTAATGCTGGCATTATCCATTTAAATGGGTGGGATAGAGAACATCTAGCTCTGGGAATAGCATTAGACTAGTGGGCCCCCTATAAAATAAAACAACAGTGCAGTGACCCTTCAAGGTTTTAGTTAGAACATGGGCTCACAAATGTGTCTTCTTTGTTTGTTTTTGTCCATCGAGCAGTATATTAATTAATCCTGGAAACCACCTTAAGATCCAAGAAGGTACTTTAGGATTTTTCATCGCAAGTGATGCCAAAGAAGTTAAAAGGTAAGAATTAATTATTTTCTCCTGTTTTCCTATCTGATCTCCTCAGAGACATCTCAACCCAATGAAGGGGACTTGCTTCCATACATGCAGGGTGCTAACTCCCAAACTTCTTAATATGTGTATGGGCATCAAATGGTGTCAAGTCTCAGGAGAAAGGTGTTGTGCTTCTTTGTAGTTTTTTCCGCATACTCAATTCCACATCTTTGAATTGGAATCATAAAAGTTTAGAACTACGAGGGCCTAGTTATCAGCTCCCTTATTGTGTGTGTGAGGAAACTGAGACTGAGATAGCAGTCCTGAGGTCATCTTGATCATCATCAAGACAGAACAACATGACATAGTCAACTGGTTCCTTATTTAGCACTCTTTACTTAGTATTATCTGGGCAAATTTACTAGAGACCTGTCAGTTTCCTACTTTAAGTACCAGATTAACCCAAATGGATTTTCAAAAGGGTCAGATTGATTTCAAATGAAATACTAAAGTATTTTTACTGTGGCCTTCTTGGTAGGTGGCTGAAGTTGTCAGGTTATGCCTTTATAGATACATCCCAGTATCCTACTGGCCACAATGTTTTATGGCTCTTGTTGAAGTAACCTTGAATCTGTTTAGACATCCTAGGAAACAGTAGGGATCTTTGAAGAACAACATGGAATATTCTTATTTCTAATTCTATCCTATGGACTTGGAAAAACTTCTTAGCAAAAAATGTCACTCACATTGTCAGGGAGGCCACTTAGCTGAAAAATACAGTAGCATAAAGTATTTTAAATAAATTATTAATTGTAAAGTCATTTATGATGGTGTTCTGTTCTAATGAGTTCATCATAAGTCGGTTCTGACATAAGTTGGATACCTCATTTTCTTTTTAGTTTTTACCATTATTGCCTTTTATTGTCAATATCTTTATAAATCTGCTATTTGTCTTTGGGGTTGGCATGAGAATGATAATGTCAGCAAATTACATGCTGCAACATTATAATACATATTACTAATGATAAAATGTACAAAAAAATAAAAAGGTTGTAAGTATGGTTCGTTGTCCCTTTAATACATCAGGGAGTACCTCTAATTAATTCTATAAGGCTATTGTCAAGGGAGCTCTGGTAGCATAGTGCCTAAGGCACTTGACTGCTAATCAGAAGGCTGACGGTTCAAACCCACCAGCCACTCCTCAGAAGAAAGATGGGGCAATCTACTTCTGTAGTGATACTGCCTCAGAAACCCAAGGAGGGGTCGCTATGAGTCGGGTCTGACTTGACGGCACATAGCAACATTGTCTTCATTTAATGAGTGCCTAGTCAAAGTCACTCCTCAGAAGGAAGATGGGCAATCTACTTCTGTAGTGATACTGCCTCAGAAACCCAAGGAGGGGTTGCTATGAGTCGGGTCCGACTTGACGGCACATAACAACATTGTCTTCACTTAATGAGTGCCTAGTCAAAGTCACTCCTCAGAAGGAAGATGGGGCAATCTACTTCCATAGTGATACTGCCTTGGAAACCCAAGGAGGGGTTGCTATGAGTCGGGTCCGACTCACAGCACAGCAACAACAACAGCAAGTCAAAGTCAGGCACTGGTTTAGGTGTTCTACATTCTGAATTGTCACTCCTCAAGATAACCCTATAAGCTAATAAGTCTTTTAAAACACTCAGGATTTGGGGTTCCTTATTTGTAGAATTGAGATAAATGATGTGCCAAAGTCCACATGGCACATAAGCCCATGGCAGAACCTGTATCAGAACTTGTCTTTTCTTTTTCTAAAACCCACATGCTTCCTACCAAGTTTAATGATACTAACAACCTTTTATGTAGCATTTAGTATATGTTGGCATTCTTCTAAGTTCTGTTGCTATTGTGTACCACCGAGTTGATTCTGACTCACAGTGACCCTATATGAGAGGGTAGAATTCTCCATAGGGTTTCCTAGGCTTTAATCTTTACTGGAACAGGTCTCTAGGTCTTTTTCACTGTGGAGTCACTGAAATGATTTGAACCATCTATCTTTTGTGGTTAGCAGCCTAGCACTTAACCATTATGCCACCGGACTCCTTGTTCTAAGTCCTAGGTGTGGTTGTTGTTATGTGCTGTCGAGTTGGACCCAACTCATAGCAACCCCTCCTTAGGTGTCTGAAGCAGTATCACTACGGAAGTAGATTGCCCCATCTTCCTTCCAAGCAGTGGCTGATGGGTTTGAACCACCAGCTTTCTGGTTAGCAGTCAAGGCACTATGCTACCAGAGCTTCCAAGTCCTAGGTGCCCCATATTTATTAACTTACTGTATCCTTATAATAACATTTATGAGTCAGACAGCATTAAAAAAAAAGAAAATTGCCATCGAGTTGATTCTGGTTCATAGCAACCCTGTATGATGGTAAAACTGCCCTATAGGGTTTCTAAGGCTATGAATCTTTAGAGAAACAAATTGCCTCATTTTTCTCCCACAGAGAAGCTGGGGAGTTCAAACCACCGACCTCTTGGTTGGCAGTTGAATGCCTTGACCACTGTACCACCAGAGCTCTTCAGGTAGCATTAGTATTCCTATTTTACATATGAGGAGACCAAGGCACCAATTAGTTAACTCATTTACCCAAAGTCACACTGCTGGTGGGCAGTTAAGCCAGGATTGAATCCTACAGTGCAGTTCCATAGTCTGTGCTCTTAATGACTTGTCAAGAGGTGATCACAAAACTATGACATTTGACAACTGATGCTTATTATTTTCTTCTTCCTCACCCACTCTAGCAAACTAACCATAGCAGTTACAAAAGGTTTCAGGGGGGAAAAGTACTATGGGGGGGGGGATGGGGGAGAGTACCTTAAAAGTGAACTAACAACTTAATTACTTAATTTTATTTCTGAAAATTGGGAAAAGATTGCCATTATTTAGTTGTGGCAGCGGAATATCTCTCTGCCTAGTTCTGGAACCTCCTGTTCTTCCAGACTACCCCAAGACTTGAGTTGACTTGAGAGAGGGAAGTGGTGGCAAATGGGGCTGAGGCTTCCCCCTCCTCCCCCTGGTCCTCTGGTCGGAAGGTTGTAGTCAAGTCCCACCCACAAGACAAAAGCTAGAAGCAGCATCTCAGCATCTAGCACAGGAGGCCGGGGAGCTCAGCAGCCCCATAGATCACATGCACCTCCCAGATAGCAAATATAACGTGAAACTCCCATTTGTGTAATTCTGTTTCCTATTGCATCTCTCACTAATGAATGTCACAAATACCAGGCAGTCCCCAAAACAAATTACCTCCTATATTAGGGAGTGCAATATGTCTCATTTCAGTGCTTTATGGTATTCACAAATACATGCTGACACAATCAGCTACACCACCAGCCTGTAATTTTCCGTGGTGTGTGATGTGTCAGGCCAAATGCTGTCAGTTAGGGGATTTAAAATAGATGAAGACTGCAGAAAACCACAGAAAGGACATTGGAGATTTGAATGAAGCTAAACAAGTTTTGTAAAAATGGAAAAGTAGATTATGATGATCTAGTATTGCGTTTGCACCCTCCACTGCAAAAACAGCAACAAAAAAGAAATGAAGCCACAATTCCAGCTTTCAAAAGGTCACTTTGGGATGAGCTTCCATCCTTTACCTCCTGGTACTGAATATTTTCTTTTGTAAATAACCTTGGACTATAATCTTTAATATAGGAGCCACAAACTGGTGACTTACAGATCAAATTATGGCTTGCAGGCAAGATTCTTTTGACTCACAATTAAAAAGGAAATGAATTAGTTACTAACATGGTAAAAGTCATGAGTTTTCATGTGAAAATTCTTATTACTTGTTTCTGCTTAACAACTAGCAGATCAAGCAATACTGGGCAGCACGCTCATACTCATTCATTCATTTAGCAAATGTCTGTAGGTCACTCACCATGTTACATGCCATCAAGTCAATTTCAACTTATAGGGACTCCATGTGATAGAGTAGAACTACCCCATAGAGTTTTATTGGTTGTGTGTTATATTTATGGGGGCAGATCACCAGGTCTTTCTCTTGTGAAAGTGCTGGGTGGAATTGAACCATCCACCTCTTGGTTAGCAACCAAGCACTTAACCATTTGTGCCACCAGAGTTCCTTCACTAGGAGGAGGCTCTGTTCTAGATTCTGAGAATGTAATGGTGAACAAGGGACAGAAGGTCCTGCTCTCATAGGCTTGCATTCTACGGAGAATCGAATTACAGTTTTGTTTATTGATAGTGCAGAGAATTAGATCATTGGTTTGGGTTGAGTGTAAATGGAGGCTGCTCTGAGCAGGTGACATTTAAGCAGAGATCAAGATGATGAGAAAAAAATCCATCATGCAAAGATCAGAAGAAAAGAGAGATGTATGGAAAATGCCTCATGATGGGAAAAAATTTGGTGGGTTCAAGGCACCAGAGAAAGAAATTATGGCTGGGGCATGGTAGATGAGGGAAGAATGGTATGAGATGAGGTTGGGGAGCAAGGCAGGGCTAGTTCCTACACTATTTTATGAAGAGTTTGCAGTTTTACTATAAAATGGAAGCTGTTGATGGTTATAAGCTGGAGATGATGTGAGCTGATTTTATTATTGAAGGGTCTCTCCAGCTGTGTTGTAGAGAATGAGATGTAATGGATCAGCTGAGGAGGCCAAGAGACTCGAAGGCTATTCATAGTTAGATGCAGATGATGGCAACTTGGGCTAACCTGGTAAGGGTATTATTATTGTTGTTATGTGCCATCGAGTTGGCCCCGACTCATAGCGACCCTTCCTTGGGTTTCCGAGGCAGTATCACTACAGAAGTAGATTGCCCCATCTTCCTTCCAAGGAGTGGCTGATGGGTTTGAACCGCCAGCCTTCTGGTTAGCAGTCAAGTGCCTTAGGCACTATGCTACCAGAGCTCCCCTGATAAGGGTAGGTGGAGAGAAATAGGACTAATGCAAAATATATTTTAGGATCCATAGAGGAGCTTTGATGGTGTAGTGCCTAAGGCATTTGGCTGCTAACCAGAAGGCTGGCAATTCACGCCCACCAGCCACTCCTCGGTAGGAAGGTTGGGCAATCTAATTCCGTAGTGATACCATCTCAAAAACCCAAGGAGCGGTTGCTATGAGTCAGATCTGACTTGATGGGAGTGAGGATAGGATCCATTGGTGAATTGGGTATAAGAACTGAGGGATGGGGGATGAGGAAGAATAAAGCCTAGATTTGGGGCTTAAGTTATTGAGTGGCTGATGGAGAAAACTGGAGGAGGAACAAGTTTCAGGTGGTAGAAAGTCAAGAATTCTATTTGGGCCATGTTGTAAGAAATATATACTAACCATACACTTGGGAATGTGAGAAAGGCAGTTGTAAGAGTTAAAGTGAAAGGTGAAGACTGGAGATATAAATTTGGTATCAGTGAGTCTTGCCAAGAAACAGAGGCACACCTACATAGGGGAAGAATTTCATGAAAGGACTCCATAAAGTTGTGGACAGGGTTAAGGAAAACCAGCAGGCTATGGAAAATCCCCCAGAGCTAGCAACTGTGGAGGCACTGCCAGCTCTAGCTCTGCAGAGGTGAAGGGCAGAAGGGTTAGAAGAATCTCGTGAGAGACATTGTCATGAAAGACAATTTGGCAAGTATTGTGGCTTCAGAGAAATGTTGCCACTGCTGTTTTATGACCTGACAGGAGCCAGGGAATAAATTTCATGAATACATCTCTTCCCCCTCTTCAGTCTCCCACTGACTTCTGCCATTGGCCAAGCATAACAAGGAACCAGAGGGCACAGGAACCTTAAGGACTAGCCTTGCAGGACCCAAAGGTGGAGGGTCAAGGGGAAAATATTCAGCACAGCATCAGTGGCATGAACAAGGCATTTAAAGCCATGAGACTAAATGAGGTCCCTGAGGGGAGTGTGCAGAAGGAAAACAGAGAGAGACCCAAAGCACTGCTTTGAACATTCCAACATCTGTTGACTGAGACAAGGATGGAGAGCCAACAAAGAAAATTGAAAAGAAACAGGCAGAGGAGGGTAGGAGAAAAGCCAGGAGACACTTGTATCATAAATGTCTCAAAAAACAGAACATTTTTAAAGAAGTCACTTCTGTCTGATTGAGAGGTGAGGTCAAGGAGTGATGGAGGATGAATAAGTCATTGGTGACCTTGGCCAGAGAAGACTCAGCAAGAGGAGTGATAGAGATTGAAGCTGACCATTGGAAGTGGGGACACATGGGAATCAGGGAAATCAAGTCAACAGTGATTGCCAGAGCTCTTTCTAGAAACCTCATGAGGAAAGAGAGTGGTGACTGTAGGGTGTGGGGAATGCTTAGTGAGGAGAGGCAGCTATTTCTTTTAAGGTGACATGTGTATGCTGGGAGCTCTAGTGGTGTAGTGCCTAAGGCATTTGACTGCTAACCAGAAGGCTGGCAGTTCAAACTCAGCAGCCACTCCTTGGAAGAAAGATTGGGCAATCTACCGTAGAGATACCACCTTAGAAATCCAAGGAGGGGTCGCTATGAGTTGGGAATGTATATGCTGGTGGATGATTCAGAGAGAAGGAGAAAAAGAGTGATGCAGCAGCTGGGATGGTAGCGCAGAAGCACAGCCTGAGGGAGAGGGTGCAGAGCACTAGTTAGGGGGAGGGGCGTGGGTGAGTCCAGGGACATTTCATCCAGAGAGACAGGGTGCAGGCAGGAGGATGGGTACAGAGGCAGGGGATGTGCGTGGAGCCCTGTCCAAGCACTTCTGCTATCTTGGTGATGTGTGGGGCTGCTTGTGGAAGGTGTGGGGTGAACGGGTACAGGAAGAGAGGTTGAGGAAAGAGGGAAAGGTAGGAAATAGTTGTTTTGGACAGTGGGAAAGCAAGCAATGAGAAAATGGAGTAGGGTCAGGGTAGAGTGTAAAAATGCCCCCGAAATCCATGGCTATGGATTTAAAATGTGTTTCCTTTCTTCAGCAACATTCAACTGCTTAGGTGCAGTGGTGCAGGAAGATGGGGCTTTGTCAGGTGAACATGACAGAGGCAGAGAGGGATGGGAGAGAATGGTTCATACAAAGAAGTGCTACTTTGCAAAAATCAGATAGAGTTTAAACATTCTGCCCCCTCCAGTTGAGTGATGTGTCTTTGTGTCACCATAGACTCCCTAGCCTATTTCACTCATTAACCTTACTGTCTGGCACCTGTGGGGATTTCACTTTAAAGATCAAAGTTTAATGTATGATGTAATTGTACTTCCAACAGTCTATTCATACATATCAATTCTTTAGTATAGGTGTGTTCAAGATCTTAGGTTGTGGTGCCAGACTGTTGTTGTTGTGTGAAGTCGAGTCAATCCTGATTCATTGACCCTATAGGACAAAGTAGAACTGTCCCACAGGGTTTCCCAGGTTGTAATTTTTATAGAAGCAGATCACCAGGTCTTTTCTCCCACGGAACAGCTGATAGGTTTGAACCTTTGACCTTTAGGTTAGCAGCCAAGCACATAACCATACCTAGATTTAAATGCTGATTCTGTCACTCTTAGCTGTGTGACCTTGGGCAAGTCACTTAACCTCTCTGTTCTTCACTTTTCTCCTCTGTAAAGCACAGATAATAGTCATACCTCCTTCAAAGGGTTGTTGCAGGATCGAATAAGTTAATCCTTATAACATGCTTACAACAGTGCCTGGCCTATGGTTTGTGCTCTACAAATGTTAGCTATTGTTACCATAATTACTATTATACACAGGAGCATCAGATGGGGAGAAGATGGCCAAAGGAAGCAGAAGCAAAATTGCTACCCTGAATTTGATGTTTTCTCCTTTCAAGGGCACGATCAGATGTTTTTTTAGCCACATTGAGACACTGCACATACAGTCAGCTACCTTTGTTTTTTGCAACATGACTGAGAGCTGGCATTTAAAGAAATAGTAGAGGAGCTGTTATGGCAGAAAGAGCATTGGGCTGAGATTCAGAAGGCCCGGGGCTGGCCAGAACTCTGCCATGGGATGAGCTGTGATGCAGGTCATGACAACCTCTTCACATGACAGATGAGAACGCTGAGTCCCAGGGACTCTAGCTACAAGATCTCTTCCAGATCCCAAAGTCTTCATATTGGTTTCCAACTGGTGTCAATCATAAATGCAAGTCCTGTGAAAAACAAAAAAGGAATACCTAGGAATAACATGGTCAAGAGTTTTGTTTATTTCTTTAGTCCTGGTCAAGGAAAGACTATGTTTATTTCTGGCGTTCAGTTTCATGTTGGGAATGGTGACGGCACTAAGCCAAGGATTCTGTTAGTTCTTGTATCCAGGTTGCAAGTTTATTACAATGAACCAGCTCAACCCTCCAGTGCCATTCTTCTAGGCAGTGTCCATTTTCAACAGAGCTTGAATGACCTTAGTTGGTCTCATCCAGGATCTGTCCCTGACACGGCCAGGGCACTTTGTTATCACATACCAGAAAAAAAAAAAAAAAAAAACAACTCACTGCCATTGAGTTGGATTTGACTCATAGCGACCTTTCTTTGGGTTTCCAAGGCAGTACCACTACAGGAGTAGATTGCCCAATCTTCCTTCTGAGGAGTGGCTGGTGGGTTTGAACTGGCAGCCTTCTGGTTAGCAGTCAAATGCCTTGGGCACCACACCACCAGAGCTCCTTTATTATCACATAATGACACGTTAAGGCAGATGAGGGGATTTTCTTGGCAATTACTGCCTCTAGGTCTCTTCCACCCTACCTCAAGAACTCCTACCCAAAACCATTGGTAGTGCAATGACTAAGGCATTTGACTGCTAACCAGAAGGTTGGTGGTTCAAATCCACTAGCCACTCTGTGGAAGGAAGACAGGGCAATCTACTTCCATTAAGATTTACTATCTCAGAAACCCAGTGGGGGTCTCTCTGAGTTGGCATTGGGTTTGCTTTAGTTTTGGGCCCTAGATAGCTGGGAGTTGGTTCCACCAGCATTGGTAGCATTTCACACGGGCTATGGAATCTCACAGGTTGTTGGACGGAGCAAATGGTTGACTTACCACTTTTTTTTTTCTCCTTTCCTATTTTCCTCCTCAACCTCTCACTTTGGCTGGCGAAAAAAAAAAAAAAAAAAGATGCTTTCCAGTTGGCACAGTTATATTTTTATTTGACTGTGTCAAATAAATATACATTTTAATATACATTTGACCAACCAAGCTGTGAGGATTTCCTAGGTTGAAGGTGTATTTACCCCACCTCCACCGCTGGGTCTGATTTCCCACAGTCCCAATAAGCAGCATTGGAAGCTGCTCTCACCTGGGAAAGACAAGTGAGCAGACCCAGCATGTCACATCAGCAACCTTTCCCCCTGTTCCTTTTCAAAGGAAAGTTTATTAAAAGAAGCACTAACTCAAATCACAGAGGCCTGTGTTTGAAATAAATGGTCTTGCAACAAACATTTCCGTCTGTAAACATCTAAACCTTTCACAAGATTAAAGGAAATTAGTGCTGGCATGTTTCATTAATTTGGCACCATAGCGGAGGAAATGTGGTACTCATTTCATTTGGGTGGATTATGAAACGTGTCAGTTTTTCCATTCTCTTTCTCCAGGGCATTTTTTTACTGCAAGGCCTGTCATGATGACATCACAGATCCCAAAAGAATAAAAAAATGCGGCTGCAAACGGCGTAAGTAGTATTTCTTTCCCCCTTCCTTCCCTCTCTCTTAGTCCCCAAGTTTACTTTCCTTCCCCCTTTGCTATGTGAGAAACACAAAACATCCAAGAGTTTCCTTGAGTATGTTTGTGTCTCACCAGTAGTTTAAAAAGGCATGAAATAAATCCCTGTCCTTGCCTTACTAGAGCAGAGAGTGAAAAATCACCGCCCTCCAGCTCCTGGCAGTGACTCAGTGCCTAATCCCTACTTCTTGACTCTCAAGCAGTGCCTACATAGATGTGTCCAGTCTAACTAGTCAAGGATGACGGAAAGGAGAAAAATCTAAGGCCATGTAGGAAGGGTTGTTTCAGGAGAGCAATTTCCAGTGGATGAGAGGCCACCAAAGGGAAAGATGTCCCCACTAAGACTGAGGAAAACTGAGCCTGAGGGTAGAAGTTGACTCTCTTTCCTTTGGGATTCCTATAGGTTTTAGTACCAAAGACCAGTGTGTTCAATTATGATATCCTTGGACTGGCCTCAGGAAAGAACTTTCCATCAACAGTGGGCTTCACTTGTCATTGTCCCAGTAACCAACGTCAAATCCCATTGCTCTTTAGGGTAGGCTAGATTAGTGCTTGGAAGGAAGATGGGGCAATCTACTTCCGTAGTGATACTGCCTCGGAATCCCAAGGAGCGGTAGCTATGAGTCAGGTCCAACTCGACGGCACATAACAACAACAACAGATTAGTGCTTAGTATATTCTGGCATACCTCTCTTAAGCCCCTTCTAAAACAGCTTGCAATGGGGACTCTTGAGAAAGATACAGTAAGGGAGGGATATTGGATTGTAAGCTCCAGAGAAACCATGGCTGACCAGTGCCCTTTGCGTGGGGAAAGCCAGGCCTTTTGCAATCATTATGCTGCCTTGCTTAATTGAAATTGTTCACAATCCTAGAGAAAACAGTAATAATGATCCCTTCCTTCCTATGGTGATTTAGTATTTTAAAAGACCCTCATGATCATTATTTGCTTTGATACTCACCATAACCCTATGTAATTAGCAGGGGCTGTTATTAATCCTATTTTACAAAAGAGGAAGGTGACGCTGTGAGAGGACGAGATTGCTAAGGCTTGCACAGTCAGCAGCCAGGGACCCAGGTTCACCAAAACACCTCCCTTGATCCAGAGCTCTGAGC